TTCCACTGTTAATTTTACGACTCCCCGGCCAGTGTAAATCCCCCCCCTCCCCGCATTTTTAGAGGGGATAAAAGGGGGCTTGGGGGTTTTGTGTGCGGCGCTTGCGCTTGCGGTTTTCATGGCAGTTTCATTAATGTTAGTGTGGCAGTTGCTGTTGTTGTTACTTGCGCCGTAATTTTTGTTGTTGCTGCGGTGTATGCGCTTTTGCTAAAATATCGCCATCGTACTTCAAAAACATTTGCGTGAGCAGCAGATAGATACAGTCGAACTTTGCTAACTTGAATTTCTTGAAATTCTTCCGCTGGCGAAACATGTTTCTTAAAATAACATGAACTTTACAATGTGTAAGTTCAAAATTCTTGAACTATATAACGTGTCATTTGCTTAACACTATTTGGAAAACATAGCTACAGTTGCACTGTAGTAACTTGAATCTCTGGAAATAATTCAGTTGGAAAAACTTGTTTTTTAAAAATAATAATTATTATGTATTGAGGTAAATGGATATTTTTCATTTACCATTTTTATATTCCTTGGTGTAGTTGAATTTCCAACATATAAAAAATGTAACCTGACTGAAACTTTAATATTTTGGAATATTTTTTTTTTTGGATAAGCAACCTATTGGCTTTTTTGTAATTATTGTTTGACTTTATATTAATATATGCATGTATTTCTTAAATACAAAATTTTGGAATTTTTTTTTTTTGGATACGCAACCTACTTTTAGTTTATCTTAAGACCACTTTTAAGAAAATTTTTCTAAAAATCCTAGACGCTATAACTAGATTAGTTCCATCGAAATAAAAAGTATTGAATTTATAATTCTTTTCAAATGCAATTTGTTTCACCTGCCCCTCTTTGGGATTATTATGTCCCCCTTTAAAAATCCTGGCTACGCCTCTTTATGTATCTATGATCTATGGAGTTATTAAAAAATATCTTTTTTTGATGCCTTACTGTGGCTGTGGAAAGAGGTAGCTCGCGACAATTGTGAATGGGCGGCGAGGGGAAAGGGGTTTGGTGGGGAGAAAGTGGGCGTAGGGGCGGTTAAAGGGGGTGGTGCAGGGGGAGGGGGGAGAGGGAGGAGCGGATTTCGTGCCAAAGGAGTAGAAGCAGCGACGACGACGACGCGTAGTTCGTGTAGTGTGTTATTTATTCATTGGATTGGATGATAATCAGTTTGTTTACATTTTTCAGTTGCACACACAATCCCAGAGAAAGAGCGAGGGAGAGAGCGGGCAGGCTAGAGAGAGAGAGAGTGTGGGTGAGAGCGAGAGAGTGCGAGTTCATTCTCTTGTCTGTTTTATTTTATTTGCCTTAACAAAATAATAATACAGACATGCAAACACGCATATAGCGTACTCGTACACACACACAAACACACACGCGAACACACTGCTCTGAATGCGTAAACAACAAAAGCAGCTGCAACAACAATAACAACAACTAGTCAGGGGCGGAGGGGGGCGTAGTTGAGGAAACTTAAAAACAGCAGCGGGGGCAACAACAAATAAACAACCCAGGTTGAACTCTTATTCTCGGGATGCCCCAATAAACAACAATCGAGTTTTGACATTTGTTGGCGTTTGATGAACAAATTGTGGAAATCAAATTTGGAAAATACAAATATTACACATAAAAAGATAAGGGGTTTTTAAATATTTGAAAACTTTTTTCTAGGTCTCACAGTTAAAGATAAATATATTATAACCTACAGATAAAAACAAAAGATAGAACAGTAATAAAATCAGGTTTGAAAATTTTTTTTTACTTAAGATACTCCTAGTAGCACATCTTAAAAGAATGCAATTTCTGTTATCAAAAATGATTAAAGAGCATTCTGACTTCGTCTTTTCCAAACTTTTTTGGTCCCCTGGTGTTTTTGTCGCAGCTTTTTGATGGAAAGTTCTAGGCGCCATAAGTCAGACAGACAAAAAAGGCAAAATCAAAGAGATCGGCGCAGACAGACAGGGATGGCAATAGCCATTGAGGGGGGAGAAAGACAGAGAGAGAGAGAGAGATGGAGAGAGGGAGCGCCTACTTTGATCACCGTTGAGTTGACCACATTAAACTTTTTATTGCTGTTATAGTTGTTGCTGAATTATTTTCGAGTGAGACCCCAAACGTGGGGTAGGTTAATGCTAATGCCGTCGCCTGACCATTAAAAGCCCTCTCTATATATCCCTCTCTCTTTTCGTACCGCTCTCTCTTTCTCTCTGCCATTTGGTTCTTTGGAGTAGAAGAATTCTTCGGGCATACTCTTTCAAGTGTCGGAAGACTCTCTGCAACTAATGCTGACATTTGCAAAAGTTTTCACAAAAGACAACAAACAACATGGGATATTGATATTGAATTGGTTTATTTTTATTGTCTGTCGATTTAATGCATGATGTAATACTGATTTGATTTTAGATATCTATATTTATTTATAAAATACTGGTTATAGACTGATACATAAGATTTAAAATGTATTTTTTTTTCCATATCCTAACTCTAAAAAAGTATATATAAAGTAGTTATTAAAAACATTTAAAACTAAAATATATGTAAATCCATTCTTTATAAAGAATATTATTCACCCTTCTTCTGAGAAAATCTCCCAAATTTCCGATCAGAAGACCGTTAATTTCCGTTCTATCAAGCTCTTAATGAGTCACCCACACTGTCAAAAATACCACGCTCTCTTAAAGCTTTCTCTTAAAATCTTAGCTTTTTCATTCTCTCCCTCTCTCTTTTGCTCGTCGGCTCTCTCCCGCTCTCGCACGTTATTCGGCTGTTCGAAATTTTTACTACGCCGCTAGAATAATTTCGGACCAAAATATTACGAGTTCGAGTCGCGTTGTGGTCGCTTTCGCACACACAAAACAAAAAAAAGTCCAGCAACAACAAGTGTAAAGACAGGGCATTAAAAAATACCGATCTTTGATAAATACGTTTATCAAAATGCATTACCATAATAGTAATAATAATAACATTGATCTGAGATCGCCAGGAATTCCACATAGAATTCCCCTAGAATCGGTGGCATCTACAAACTCATCAAACGTAAGTTTAAGCAATATTTGGTTAAGGGAGGTATTTTTACCGGGCGGGTTTGTTTGGAAAGTTCGCGCACTTTGCCACCTGTATGGGTGTTTTGTTTATACTCTCTCTAAAGGTATTGCACTTTTCTTCAGAACTTTGGTATATAATCTATTCTATCAAATCTATCATAATATTGTACCAATTAAATGCTAGAAACATTAAAAGTTAAAAGGATCTATAAAGTAAATACATATTTTATTGTTATCTTTATATAAAATGTGGTTTGAATAAATATTTTATAAGATAGTTCTTAATGATCTTAACTTGGTACCTTTAGATTCTTTGCTTTTAATATTACTGACATACATACATTTTTAGAACTGATCAAAATAATACTACTGATCAAAATAATACTAAATAATACTAAATCCCTAAAATATTTAATAATATATATTTATACCAACTAATACTGCAAGGGCATACAATTTTTACTAAACTTAGCTTTCTTTCTTGATACTTTGCATGCGTGTGTCTGCTAATTTGTTTTGATCGCTTCGTGTGTTTGCCATATTGGTATCTTAAAAAGAAAAACAACAATAACTCGATCTGAGCGCATACAAATTATTATTTATTTACCATTATTATCATAATTGGGTCTGACTTCGTTCATTCGGCTTTAATTTATGTTTAGGATTTACTCAGAGCATTGACAAAAACAACTTTTGGCGGGGGGTTTGACCGGCATTGGAATGCGGTGGGAAAAAACAAAAACAGAAATTTCTAAATAATTTCAACTCAATCGGAAATACGCCATACAAGTGTATGTTTTTGGCGATCACAATTCGCATTATTATATGCAAATTGGTTTTGATTTCTAACGAAATACGACAGGTATTGAAAAATACAAGTAAAGTAGTCTGGATTGGGGTTTAAAAGGGGGTATTTAAAAATGCAAAATATAATACAGGGTTCTAGAAAACATAAAGGTGTGGAAATATCACTAGGTTTTATAAAGCCTATATAAACCAGTTAAAATCATAATTGTTGCAGAAAAGACCGAAACAAAACCCAAACCAAACTTGAATCTGTAATCTTCTATCAAACATAGACGTGCTTATCCACAATGAATTTACAAAAATTTAATACGAGACATAAATATAGCTTAGTCAGAATGATTTTATTAAACCAGTCATCATTACTGATAGTTTTGAAATCTATTTCCTTTGCTATCTCAAAACTTTATTGGTTTTTCATTTTTGACAATTTTTAGACCACTATCCGGTCTTTTAACAGACCCCTTTTCGATAAAAGATATGGATATAAAGATAAACAAATCTGGGTTTATAATCTGGCATATACTAACGTGACTTACATTTAAAATGGTTGTTTCTGGTGATTATTATTAAGTAGAGAACATTTTTATAAAATATATATTTATTCATTAGCATAACATAACATTTAAAAAAAAAAGATGTTTTATAGTCGCTATAAAGTTACATGTTTTTCATAATTATTATATTCCTTTTGGAATTTTTTTTATATTTAAGATACAAATTTAGATCGTTTTTGTAATACAGTTTATTTTATAAGTTATCCATTTTAAATTATACATTCATTTACATTTTTACTATAATAAGCATTTTTAATGGTTCTCTCCCATTTTAAATATAGCATTTTTAATAGATCTTTTGAATATATCTATATTTTTGTATCGGAAAATTTTTAACTTATCATTTCCATAGTTCTCTGGAATATAACTATAAGAGCGGAAAAGCTCTTAATTAATCGTTTTCCATTTAATACTTTTATGAGTTGATTATTAGTTCTCAAGTAGCTTGGTTCGTCGCGTTTCTTATCTTGATGGGTCGCTCTTTTGGACTGCGTCACGATGACGAAGTTAGGAACCTTTGAACACCCGCCCAAAAACGCTTTATCACTAACCCTTTCGTATTCGTTCCGTTCTTCACTTCCAGATGGGCCTGAATATACCCATGCTGATAGCGAGCAGTCAGACGCTGGACAGTTGGAATACGGCGGGTCAGTACTCGCCGCCGATATCGGGCTCCGGAGGCGGGGGCTCGGAGCGCGGAGGAAGTGGTGGTGGTGGAGTGCCCCCCCAGCAATTGCGAGTGCCCCTGCCCATGAGCTACCATGGTGGCACTGGCGGCGGTGGCAGCAGCAGTAGTGATTTCCAGCAGAGCCCGCTGAAAACGATGGATACCTCGGATAATGAGGACAACAATAATACCAAGGAGGATGTGGCAGCGGCGGCGGCATTGGGACAACTGGCTGCCAAGGTGGAGCTACGATCGCCGGTGGGCGGTGGAGGAGGAGGAGGAGGTCCTAATCCAGGTGGTGGTGGCTCCAGTAGCAGGGATGCCAACGATCCAGCCAGCGATCCCATTAAATCCGATCGGACTTTAAGCGAGGCAGGCAGCAGTCCAGGCATACCCAATACCAACATGCACGAGGCGCACAAGAATCACCTGCTGAACAGTCCAGCGGGCGGAGGAGGAAGGGCAGTGACCCCCAGGCAGGCGCACGAGCAAATGCACCACCACAGTCATCCGCATACGCAGCACCACCTGCAGCAGCAGCAACTGCAACAGCAGCAACAGCAACTGCAGCAGCAACAGCAACAGCAGCAACACCTGCAACAGCAACAGCTGCATCATGGCCACGAGGATTTGGACATCAAGCAGGAGCTGGTGGACTATTTCCATGGCCAGGCGGCGGCTGCTGCTGGGGTTGGTGGTGGCCCAGCACCACCGCCACCACCCGAATCGCATCGTTCCTATAGTTCGGCGGGCGAGGAGAGTCGCCTCCAGTTGGTGGACATGGCCCAGGATCTGCGGGTGGCCCAGGCGAAGGCCAATTTCAGTGCCTTTGTCCTGCCGCCCAGAGGCAGCAGCGATGCAACCGGCAGCACACCCGTTGCCATGCCCTTGAATATGCGTAAACTAACCGGTAGTACTGGCAGTGCGGGTCATATGCTAATGAATTCACTGCTGGGCTCCAGGGAGAGCATGTCAGATGGCGAGGAACCGGATCCGGATAACGATGAGGCCACCGAATCGGCCACCAGTCCTGGGCGGCACATCAAGAGCAGCGTTTCCGCCCAGGCAGCCGTTGCTGCATCCGCCTTCTATGCCGAGTCCCTCAATCGAGACGATTGCGATTTCATTGGCTCGAATGTATCGCTCAAGCTGCGCACCATGGATCGCACACAGCGGATCATTGCCGAGAAGCTGATCAGCGAGGTCCTGTACTATGGGCAATTCAACGAGCTGGAACGCTCGGCCAGGATACAGCCAAAGTGACAGTGGCGCCCCAAGAAGTGGACGGCTGCGGTGGGGAATGGCAGTGGTGGAGGTGGTGGTGCCGCCCCTGCCGTGGGTCTGGGCATCGGAGTGGGTCTGACCAGGATACGACTGGGCAGAAGCCTCCTGGCCCCGCAGCATGGCAAGTGAATTCCATCTGAAATAGATAGATAGATAGTCAACACAGAGAGAAAAGCAGTAAATAGAAACAGAAACCAATACAGAAAACAGTACAACTTATTTTTAGTTTGGCCAGGATCGGGGTCACCACTTGTACAAAGCTTGGCAGAGAAAGGGGCAGCGTTACTTAGGCGGAGAGAAAGTGGAGAGGGAGAAGAAAGCATACCAGAGCTTGGAGAAAGGTACTTACATATATGAAAAAGGGAGAGATGGGGATGTTTTTTATAAACTAAAAGGTGTGTTAAAAATTGTAAAATCAAAACTCTTTTAAATATGTGAGAATCCTTTGTTCTAAAGGTAGGGTTTGATCTTTTCTATAAAGAAAACTCAAGAAAATCCCCACAATGTGAAATTTTTAGTATATTTTTATAAGGAAAGAAGAAACCAACAAATCAAAATACATCTTAGTTTTTAATTTCTATTGTTAAAATCATAACAATCTTGTTCAATCACCATCTCTCCCTGGGTGAAAATACGCAAAGCAACATAGAACACAAACCAAAGTTACTTTCTATTCTGTTCGAAGGGCTGCATAAACAATAGTTTAGCTTTTGTGTCCACAACTTCAATATTAAACTACATAAAATACATAGATACTAGATAGGTTAGAATGGGTCTGGGGAACGGGGTCTTCGACACACCTGAGACATCTAACTAGCAGAATCTCAGTATTACTTATAAAATACACTCTACATAGACCATAGATAACCGCAAGCAAATAACAAAATAGAAGGATAGGAATGAAAGCATTTGCCATAGATCGATTCCTTGGGGCCGATCGTCCACTTCTGGGTGTTATCTGGTTGCCGAATGTTCCAGCCCGACTTTAAACCTCGCTGTAGAACAGAAATACCTAACATACATTGAAGAGTAAGCAAAAAAACTATTGTAAAGACAAAGGAAAAGCGGCTGCTAAAAAGTCAAGCTCCCAATTTGGGCACCACTGTAACTCAAGTTCCCAAAAAAAAAAATCCAACCGTTTGAGAAGGGGTCTTGTAAGAACTATATGTTTTCTATATACCTGTAAATGGATAACAAAATATATAATATATCATTGTACCTTATTTTGAAACAGAGATGTTTTCTTAGTCACTTAAGTCTGGTCGTCGAGGAGTCACCAATCCAAAACCCAACAACTGAAACCAACCAACCAACAAACAAACAAAAAGCAACCGCAAAAGCAAACTTTTACCTATATTATACAAATACTGTCGTCACTAGTTCGTTAAAGAAACAACAAAAACAAACGCAAAAAACAATGGAAAAAGAAAAAGCAAAACAATATTGTACATTTTCGTGTTTATTTTTTTAGGTCCTATTGATTTTTGCATAATATCTAAGTAGTTTTTATTTTTATATGCAAAGCAAAGCAGAGCAAAAAAACAGAAACATTGAATTAATTTATATGAATATATATATATATATAGATATATAAATGTGTACGTATACCTAATAAAATATGGGCAAATTAGTTAGTCACATAAACGAGAGAAAGAGATAGATGGTTCGTTGAGGATGATGATGAAATGCAGCTCGGCTTTTGCTGCTGCGTTTTTAGCCGTAGTTTTTACCCTAGCATAGAAGAAAAAATAAATCAAAAACCAACAAAAGTCCAAACTGAAATGAAAAGTCATGTGTAAAAAATGGTAAATTAGATGTGAATAAATTAATTGTGTGTGAAATTAGCGAGAATTTGTTTGGCATCGATGTGCAAGCGTGTGTTAGTGTGATTGCGTATGGGAAGTAAACCAAAATTAGTTTTTCCTGAATGTGTAAACAGCAGCTAAAAAACATAAATAAATGTGTGTACCTATTTGTCTGACAAGCATTGTAAACGCTGTGTTTCTTCTAATTAATGGGTAGTAACGGGCTCAAATGGCTTGTATTATATTTTTACAAATTTAGTGACGTTTTAAACATTCAAAATATTCTAAAAATCTTAAATTTGTATTTGTATGTTTAAAAGAATATATATTTTGAATTGCGCGCCATATTTATCGATTTCTTGGGCGCTGAATCTATCGACCATTATCTACATTAATTTGACATACAATTTACATTATCCCCAAAAGCAGGCAACATATCAAAGGTTCCCAAAAATTCCGCTTGGTGGCGTTTGCTCTTTAAGCTTATTTAACCGATCTGGCAACGCCGCATTTACCCGCCAATATTTCAAATACGATGGCGAACGTTACAAAACTAGTTTAACATCAAACAACGATGTTTTTAAAAAAAAACATCATTAAACATTGATGATTGGCAAATCACAGCAATGTTTTCTTCACCACTACCTTTTATCCAATTTCTTGGCTATAATAAATACTAAGATCATTCAACACTTTCTTTGTTTACTATTTTTACTTGATGTTTTCTCTTCACATATAATCTTCATCGTTTAATTACACAAAATAAAAATGAAATCGCATGCGTTATTGATTTTTGATTGATTTGTGTTTGGTTTTTTTGTTTGTTTTGTAACTTAGAAACGAAACTTAAGTGACTGGCTTAATGAGTAGAAATAATATTGGTTATACAATAAGGCTACGCTTTCGTTAATCATTAATTAATCAATTACTCCGCTAAATAATCTGACAAACGCGCGCAGGCGCAGGACTCGCAAGGCCGGCGGATCCAACAACAACTGGATATAGCAACTTTTTTGTTTACATATTTCTTTCATTATTTTATTCTTCTTGATTTAATGCCACCGAGAAAGATCTTAGACAAAACATTTAAAATGTAAAAATACACTTGAAATTTGTCATAAAATTTGCATAGTTTTTTCATACAATTTGGCTTGTTATCCATTCTTTTTTAACATAACAAAATATGTATTTTTCTGGTTTGTAGGAGGGGAAAAAAAATGCAAAAAGGCTTGAAATTTGTGCGCTGCTGTGTTGGGTCACGTTGGCTTCCGATGAGGCAGAAAATGGGGGAGTGATGGATGGTCTTCTTCTCTGTGGGCGATGAACAAAACGCTGGGTGGCCTTAGAATTCAAAGTTGAACGAATTATTCCGACCGCCGCCGCCGCCATTGAATTGGAAGAACGAGCGGAACATTTGATTGGGATCAAAGTCAGCTGGGGATGGAAAAACAAAACAGATTTAGTATTAATTTCCCATATTTGTGTAATAAAATTTAAGCACTACCTTGCTCTTGCTCCTCGATGTCCTGGCCGCTGTCGTAGCGCGCCTTTTTGCGGGCATCGGACAGAATGGCGTAGGCCTCGCCCACCTCCTTGAACTTGAGCTCCTCCTCCTTGCGCTCCTCGGCACTGCTGTTGGCATGCCGATCGGGATGATGGACCAGCGCCTTCTTGCGGTACGCCTTCTTGATCTCATCATCGGTGGCACTGCGCCCAATGCCCAGAATCTTGTAGTAGTCCTTTCGCTTCGACTTCTTCAGCGCAAACTTGGCCTCGCGCAGCAGTCGCTTGATCTCCGGCGTCTTCTCCAGCTGCAGCGCCGTCTCGTAGTCGGCCACCGACTCCTCGAACTTTTCCAGATCATTATAGCAACGGGCACGCAGCAGCAGGGCCTTCAGATACTGGCTGTTCAGTTCCAGCACCCGATTGCAGTCAGCCACCGCTTCCCTGGCATTGCCGATGCGGGTGTTGACCAGGGCCCGATTATAAAGCAATTTCGAGTTGATATCCTTGTTGTGCTCGTCGATCTTCAGGGCGTCCGTGTAAATGACATGGGCTTCGCGGTAGCGACCCGATTTGAACAGCATGTTGCCGTTCTCCTTCATCTCCTTGAGCTGCTTGCACTTGCTGCGCATCTGCTTGGACTTGTAGTGGTCGGGGTCGAGGGTCAGGGCGCGCTCAAAGTGCAGAATGCCCTTCTCCAGGTTGTCGGTGTAGTACAGGCACAGTCCCCTCACGTAAATCGCATCCGCCGATGTGCTGTCCAGCTTCATCACACCCACAGCAATGTCCAGGGCCTCATCACAACGTCCCAAAAAGGCAAGGCACTCGGCCTTGAGCAGGCGGTATCTGGAAAATGCAGTTAGGGATTAGCTTTTCATATACTACTACTTTCCAATCACTATTATGTCATTTTAGGTGTCTAAAAGTATGCAATATTTAAAGGAAGTTGTCTTTTCCTATGAACTTATTACACTTTTGAGTTAAAAATATATTGTATAATACTTTTAGACATCTAAAAAAATTACTTTTAAAGACGATTTTAAAATTCTAGGATTTCTGGTGCAGTGAATAAAGGGTAGCCGTCTTTCTAAACGAATCAGTTATAATTTTGAGTTTGAAATAAATTGTTGCATACTTTTTGACTTTTTAAAAATGATTTCAAAAACTCTCTGTGACGCTAATATGCTTTTATGTTTAGGTCTAAAACTATGCAGTGAATTAAGAATATTTAAGGAATTCATTTTACTTTTGAGTTTAAAATATATTGTTGCATACTTTTGGACATCTGCAAATTAAATTTTAATGCAGTTTCAAAAACCTTGTGATTTCTGTGGCTACGCCGACATATTATTATTTCTAGATACCCGTAAGTATGCTTTGAATAAAGGATAGTCTGCTTTCAGTGATACTTTTGAGTTTAAAATATATTGTTGCATACTTTTAGACATCTAAGACATTTAAAGATGATCTTAAAACCCTACTGATATTTCATTATTTTAAGGAGTACTCACCTCAGGCAGGCTGGTGCCAATTTCAAGGCACTGTCCAGGTAAAAGATCACATTGCGATAGGCCTTCGTGTCATAGTTCGTCTGGATGGTGCCCTCCAGTTGGCGCAACTTCTGCGCCGCCGCCTGTTCGCCACTCACAGCCGTGCTCTGCGAATTCAGCTCGGCGACCATTTTAACGGCCTGTTCGGTGCCAATGATGTCGCCCAAAGCCAGACAGCACTTGGCCACCCGGACGTAGGCCTTCTCGAAGCCCGGATCCAGTCGGATGGCATGGCGGGCATCGGTAAGGGCGCTATTATAGTTGAGCAGCATCATGTAGCAGGCGGCACGATTGCCATAGTACGCCGCCGAGTCCGGACACAACGATATGGCGTCTGTGTAGAGCTTGAGTGCATTCTGATAGTTCTGCGCCTTGTATTGGTCGTTGCCCAGTTTCTTCTTCTCTTCGGCAATGCTGCAAGTACGAAAAGAGGGGGGAAAACAATTTTCTTGGTCAATCCTTGGGGGCTTAGCTCACTGCACAAAAGGATCCGAGTCCTTTACATAGTCTACATAATTTGAATTTTTAATTTCATGTCGTCGTCAACCGAGGCGAAGTAACTGCCGCGGGGCAAAGTCGCCTCTTCTCAACAAGAAAAATACAAAACGGCCGGTATAAAATGGCACAGACGAAAAGCAACAGGAAGTAATCCGCTTGCCGTTCACCAGACGTCTTTTCAAAATGCACAGTGACACGGAAATTGGGGAAAAAGTGAGGCGGAAAATGCATTTTTACTAAAAAGGACATTTAAATAAAATAGTTTTGCTTTTTTTCTGGGAAATCAAATATTTTTTATATTACGGCTTTATATTTAAAGTTTTTTTATAATCCCTTAAGGGCTTATGACACTTTGTTGATCTTTGACAGATTTGATTTATTTTATAAAGTTGTCGAATACATTAATTTATAAAATTTTGATAAGACGCACCCCTTTCTTCTTTAGATTGCCATTATTTTTTAAAATAATAAAGGTCTATCAAGTGTAATAAGGCCTTAACTGACTGGACTTACTTAAAAAGTCATGGCAACCTGAAATAAATTAATATAACAATTTAGAACATAGCAATATGTTCTGCCAACCTCTTTTTTTCCAGGTTGTCATGACATTTACAATAAATGCAATGAGTTAGTCAAAAAACAAAGACTTAACTTTTATATTTTTAAAAAGTCTGCAAATTATCAACATACAATATCTACTTAGACATTCGTAAACTGCAACTCGGATTGAAAATCAATGAAACATTAATCACGAAAAGGGTTTGGTTTAAAGCCCAACATTAATTTGGAAGATAAGAGAGGTGTGTCTAACTTAAAAACCCCAATTATTTTAAAACCATAGGCTTTTCCCGTAATAAACAATTAATTTCCACTCCCATTCACTGGTGTTCATCCCATTTTCAGCCCACTGTTGCCCCCAACACTCCGATTTTCCATTTGAAGGAAGTGCAACAACCTGCGCCAAGCTCAAATGGGCCAAGAAATTATGGCATCACAATGGCCGCCAATAGGGCGACACTAATGCGGGCGCCAAAGAATCCCGAAAGCCAAAGAAATTCCCCATTTTCCCCCATCCCAGCAAAAGGCAAAACCCACTTGGAGTTGTGCCAGCCAGGGTGGTTTCACTGTACTGCGAAGAGCATTGTCGCCAGCATTACGGGGCATAAGTGCTTTATGGCTGGCTCGTTGTTGATATTCTCGATTTTCTCTCAGTCTGCTTGTTATTTATTTGCTTGTGATTTCGGTTTCCTTTGTGCCTATTTATTTTTGCTCCTGTGTGCCACTAAAAATACATTGAGATATTACAAATATTGTGGGGTGTTCACCTTCTTCTGATTTACTCAAAGTTGTGCTTGATTGGAAGTATATAGTAATAAGAACGTTTGATTAAGGTGTAGCTTTTTCATTTCAAAAGACAAATTTGAATATATTTTTATAAGTTTTAAACTGAGTTTATATTTTACATTGAAATTAAAAAAAAACAAATAGGTCATTTCATTTTTTAAAATGAAGTAATAGGTGGTGCCACAAAAGTCTCTAGGAGTTTGATATCATTTTTAAATGTGCCTAAAAGTATGCAACAATATCTTTTGAACTCAGAAGTACAATGAATTCATTAGGAAAAACGACTATACTTAA